GCTGAGTGTAGGGAACTGGGAGGCTAAGGATTAAACCTGAGTAAACAATCAAAGGTATGCTTGAACTATTGTTTCTTTTCTTTTTTTAGTTAACTCTTTATTTTAGAGAATTTTAAATATGAAAGTAGATGGCTCATTTATAAACCTCCTATGTCCCCATCTCTGAATTTCAACAATAATCAGTTTATGGAATATCTTATTTATATATACCCACTTGTATATTATTTATTTTAAAGCAAAGCCCAGAATCCTATCATTTTCATCATAAATATCTCAGTGCTTATGTCTAAAGAGATACCTTTTTAAAAACATTTTATTTATTTTTAGAGAGAGGATAGTGGAGGGAAACATCAATGTGTGGCCACGTCTTGAGCACCCCCTACTGGGGCCCTGGGCCAAAACTTAGGCATGTACCCTGACTGGGGATTGAACCTACGATCTTTTGGTTTGCAGGCTGGCACTCAGTCCTCTGAGCCACACCTGCCAGCGCATAACCTATTTAGCTCTTATTCTGGGTTTCTTGCACTCACCTGGTATTGAAGAGCGTGAAACTCTTTCATTCATCTGCTGCTCTTAAATTGGCCTACAGTGCTTTCTAATAAATCCTTATTGGCTGTTTTGGGATTACCAGTTCTCATTTCTGTCTAATGCAGCCCCACTGAGGACAGCTTATTCTGCTCACCCCAAGACTACTGTGTAGGCCTTTGGTTGTCAGTATTGAATTCTAAGGTTTGTTGAGGATACTGTGTGATTTAGTTTTGTTGTAAATGTTGTCATGGGGTTTGCATTTCACCGTCTAGTTGCTCTCTCTGTTTTCATCTGGGGATTTGGAAAGTTTGAAAACTGTGCTCCCATCTTGCTATCTTCCTTGACTCCCCCATTAACTGGTGTGTGTGTGTGTGTGTACAGCCTGTTTGAATCATAATCTAAATAGTAAGTTGATGTGTTTTCTACAGTCTATGAAATGTTTCTTCTCTACCTCTTCCTCTATGTTCCCCCTCCCTCCTCTTTTCCCTTTACAATTCATTAATTGAAGAAACCACATTGTGTGTCCTGAAGAGAGGCCCTCTGCTTATTGTGTCCGTGTGGTGTAGTGCAGCACGTTCTTCTGTTCTCCGCATTCCCTTTAAACGAGGAGGTGGAACTGGAGTCCTGATCAGATTCAGGTCCCATGATAAAGGTGTATATTTAAAAAGAAACCCCAAGCCCTGGCTGGCATAGCTCAGTGGATTGAGCGCGGGCTGTGAACCAAAGTGTCGCAGGTTCGATTCCCAATCAGGGCACATGCCTGGGTTGCAGGCCATAGTCCCCAGCAACCGCACATTGATGTTTCTCTCTCTCTCTCTCTCTCTCTCTCTCTCTCTCTCTCTCTCTCTTTCTCCTTCCCTTCCCTCTCTAAAAAATAAATAAATAAAATTTTTAAAAAGAAACCCCAAACCAAAGGCCCTGAATGGAACAGCTTGAAGAGAGGAAAGAATACAGAAATAGAAGCACTGGAGTGAAAATTTCAGTTGGAGAATTTGACTGGAAAGAATAGGCAAATCCATAGGAACAGGGAAAGTAGTGGTTGTGCGGAGCCAGGGGCGCAGGTAATGAGGAATGACTGCCAGTGGGAACAGGGTTTCTTTTTAAGGGGAAGAAATTAGATTGTGGTGATGGTTACATAACTCTTAAAACCACTGAACTGTGTATTTTAAAAAGGTGAAGTTTATGGTATGTGAATCATATTTCAATATAGCTGTTTTCTTAGTAAAGGGACTTCGGATTTGAAAAGGAAGAAGGATACCTAATCCTCTGAGGCCGATAGGAAGGCGGTTGGCGTGGGTGCACGTGCGGATAAGTTGTGAGTGATCTCTCCCAGAGACGGTAGACTTAGTCAGTCAGTTTTCTATTGGATATGGTATCTGGTATATTAGGAGCCTCTATGGGTATGTCCATCTCAACATCATTGCTGCCTGATAGAAATGTAATGCACACCGCCTGTGAATTTCAATTTTCTCATGGCCAATTTAAATTTCTAATAGCCAATTTAAAAAGTTAAAAGAAACATGAATGTAATTTTTATATCTTTTATTTGATCCATTCTAGCTAAAATATTTCAACATTTGTCCTGGCCAGGTAGTTAAGTTGGTTGGAGTATCATCTCCATACACCAAGGTTGTGGGTTTGATCCCTGGTCAAGGCACATACAAGAATCAACCAATGAATGCATAAACAAAGAAGCAACAAACTGATGTTTCTCTCTCCCTCCGCCCCCACATCAATAAATTTTAAAAAATGATTTAATAAAAATAAATATTTCAACATTTAATTAATACAAAAATTGTTCATTAGATGTTTTACACACATTTCTCATTCAGGTTTTTGAAATTCAGTGTGTATTTTACGTTTACAGACTCCCCACATTTCAAGTGATTGACAGCTACATGTGGGCTATGCTTAGGGTATTGGACAGTGCAGATGAGGAGGTTTAGAGTGGAACTCATGAACTTGTTCTAATCTCCTTGATCTCAGTAATTGACCCCTTTTTCTAAGGGTCATTCTCCTATGTCCCACTTCCTTACCATCCACCTCAGTCAATCACTCAGTTCTACTGATCTTTATCTTTAAAAGTTTTGTAAACCTGTCTCTTCTTAGTCGACCCCACTGACGCCCCAATTTCAGGACTCATCATTTCTTCCCTGGGCCATTGCTGTAGCCTCTCAGCTGGTCTTCACGTCTCTACTTTCACTCCCCAATAAATCCATCTTCTGCTTTGCAGCCTAGCTGAAAATTATGCCATGCTGCTCCCTGACTTACTGCCACTCCGCAGTCCCACAGCATTCCGTGGCAGCCATGTGTCCACAGATGGTGTGAGAATGCGGGCCAAAGAAAGTAGATATCGTCCTATCTCATTCTTTTGAAAAGTTTGTTTAGTGTCTGTTTCTTAATGTATATGACACAGTAGGACACGTAAAAATTTATAAGTGAATATACTTACACTATGGAATATGATGACGTCCAGTTCCTTTGCATGTTGTTAGGGGCCAGGCCCCTTCTCTGCCTTTCTAGAAGCCTCACCTTTTGCCTCGCACTTCGTAGTCTGGTGACACCGTGCTGTGTGTTTCCATCCATCTCTCTCTGCATTTGTCACCCTTTCTCTCTTCTGTGTGTTTACTGCTGCTGCCTGTCCTGCCTAGGTTCCCTTCCTGACTTCCTGCACTTGACTAATTATCTTGTTTTGTCGTTCTGGTAAGAACATTAACGTGAAAATTACCCACAACAGATTTGTAAGCTCACAGGACTGTTAGCTGCAGACACCGGGTCGTGCGGCAGCAGACCCCTGGGGCTTACTCACCTTGCTCACCTAAGACTTCAGGCCTGTCGAACAGCCATCTCCCTTTCCCTCCAGCCCCTGGCAAGCACCCCATTCTGCTCTCTGCCTCAACGAGTTTGACCATTTTAGGTGCCTCCTGTAAGTGGGATCATGCATTATTTGTCCTTTCGTGTAGGGCTTCTTTCCTTAGCACAATGTCCTCCAGGTTTCTCTTTGTTGTAGCATACAGCAAGAATTCATTCTTTGTTGAGGCTAAATAATATTCCATTGTGTGCACATATTTACACCACACTTTCTTCATGTACCCACCTACAGGCATTCGGGTTGTTCCCCTGCAGTGGCTATTGTGAGTAATGCTATATGAACACAGGGTGCCGATCCCTGTTTCAGATCCTGATTTCAGGTCATTGGGACTGATACCCAGACGTGGGGTGGCTGGATCACAGGGCAGTTCTATTCTAAATATTGGGGGGAACCTCTGTACAGTTTTCCATAGCAGCTGTACCATTTTACACTCCCACAGTGTACAGAGGTTCTCATTTCTCCACACTGTCACCAACACTTGGTATCATTTATGAATATGTATATAGTACCTAACAGGTGGGAGGTAATACCTGGTTTTGATTTGCATTTCCCTGATGATTTGTAACATTGAGCATCTTTTCATATGGTTGTTGGCTCTTTGTAAGGTTCTTTGGAAAAATGTCTATTGCTGTCCTTTGCTATTTAATTGGGTTATTTGGTGGTGGTTTTTCTATTGAGTTGTGGGAGTTTCTTGGATACTTTGGACATTAACCCATTATCAGATAAAGTAAGGGGGTTGCAAATATTACATAGGTTGCCTTTTCAATTTGTTGGTTGTTTGCACTCGGACTCTTACTCCAGCAAGTCTTCCTCCTGCAGGTTAGGCTACATGCCCCTCTCCCCAGGTCCCACAGAACATTGTGAGTGACTCAGACTTGACACTGACCTTGTTATGTTGGGTTGTTCATCGTCATTGGCCTGTTCTGTCTCTTCTCTCCCCACCCCTCACCCTTGCCCACGGCTCATTGAGGGAGAGGATTTTGCCTCGATTACCATTTTTGTACTGCTAATCACTAATATAGTTCTTGGCATATAGCTGGCAGTCAGATTAGTAGAGCTAAACTGAACCCCTGCAAATTTTAATGATTATGTTATCGAAGTTTAGACCTAGGCATTAACCAAATTTGAAATAACTGAAGGCTTAGATCTATTATTAATACCAATAACCTCTGTTTGAAAAATGAGTAGATAAATGAAACTAGAAATAGTGGCACTTTTAATTTTAGGTGAAAAAGAACTATAATATAAGTATACAAACAGGTAAGTATTGACCTGTATATAAACTTCCAGGGCAGAGTTTTTATCTCTTCTTCTCAAGGGTTTATTCCTACTGTGTAGAACAGTGCCTGGCACCCAACAGTAAGTACCTGGTCAGTAATATTTGCTGAATAAATAGATGATGTGCATAAGAATAGCAGTCTGACCTCATATTCTATTAGCCTTTTAAGGTAAAAATTAAGTTTGGAATATTTCCTCATCTCCAATTAAAGCTTACCACTTAAACTAAATCAAATGACTATCTTCTCACTCATTATTTTATAGTTTTGTAAAGGAAGTTTCTAAGTAATTAAAATGGAGTATAATTTTTTTTCTCTTTTAGTAAACGAAGCAAAAAAGGAGATAAAAATGGAAAAGGCTTGAGACATTTTTCAATGAAAGTGTGCGAGAAAGTTCAGCGGAAAGGTACAACATCCTATAATGAAGTGGCTGATGAGCTGGTATCAGAGTTCACCAATTCAAACAACCATTTGTCAGCTGATTCGGTAGGTAGATCATGCACTTGACATTGACTTTTTTTTAAAGGTTTTATTTATTTGCTTTTAGAGAGAGGGTAAGGGAGGGAGGGAGAGGGAGAGAAACATCAATGTGTGGTCGCCTCTTGCACCGCCCCCAACTGGGGGCCTGGCCCACAACCCAGGCATGTGCCCTGACGGGGAATCAAACCACAGACCTTTCAGTTTGTGGTTTGACTCCCAACCTGCTGAGCCATGCTGGTCAGTGCATATATCTTGGAGATTTTCTTAACCACATATAAATCACCCATTTTTTCCAATGGAGATAAAATTACATACAGGGAGGGAAACATACATGTCTTGAGGGTGCAATTAAAGTATTATTTTCCCCCTTATTTATTGTGGAATATTTTACATGCAATAAGATGCATTATTTCAACTAAAATTTGATGAGTTTTTTTAAAGGTTTTATTTATTTATTCCTAGAGAGAGGGGAAGGGAAGGAGAGAGGGAGAGAAACATTGGTGTACGGTTGCCTCTCGTGCATCCCCCATGGGGACCTGGCCTGCAACCCAGGCATGTGCCCCAACTGGGAATCCAATCGGTGACCCTTTGGCTCAAAGGCCCGCACTCAATCCACTGAGCCACACCAGCTGGGGCAAATTTGATGAGTTTTGACAGTTGTGTGCACCTCTGGAACAACCACGGTAATCAGGATACAGATTATTGTCATCATTCCATAACGATTCTTCTTCCTCTTTATCATTATAGATCAGTTTACATTATATTTAAATGTAATGATACTATGTATACTCCACAACAATATTAAGTAATAGTAACTCTAGTCATATTGAGTTTTTAAGTCTTAATCTTAGTGGGAAATACTCATAGTATTTCAACTTCAGTTATAATAAAGCTTTTATTTTTAGATTTAAAAAACTTAAAAAATGAATATTTCTTTTTTCTCAATTTAAAAAAATTTGAAATTGTTGTTGTATTTATCAAAGTCTGGATAGTTTCCCAAAAAATTGGGATTTTTACACTGATAGTCATGAATGAGACTAGGGGGTTTTGTTTTGTATTTTTGTTTTGTTTTTACCATCTTTGTAATGTGATTAGTAGTGTTATGCTAGCTTTACAATATGAATTTAGAGGCTTTCTTTTTATCTTTCTCTTTATTCCGTCACAGGTTTCATAGTATTGGATGTCTCTTTCTGGTCCCTGAAATTTTATGGGAATCACCTGTGCCTCCGCCCGGGCCTGGTGATTGGGTGGGGGTGAAGTTAGATAGGTATTTCTGTTCCTTCTTTGGTGGCTTGTTTGTTTAGTATTTCTGTTTCCCTTCACTTAGTATTTTATGGTTTTTAGAAAATCCTCTATCTCATCTGGATTTGTTTGTACTGACCTATTTTGCAGTTAATTTGTTTTTATCTTTATTTAATATTCTCCTTCTTATAGTTACTTTTGATATTTCTCTACACTGCAGGTGATGATTATACATTATTTACTTTTCTTATTTTTGTTCAGTGATGAAAGCCTTTGTGGCTGTGGCTTTTCCTCTTCTGTACTGCTTTGGATCCCACTGATTCTGATGTGATGTTCTTCAACCTAAGAATTACATTAGAAAGAGTTCTTGCAGTTCCAGGTGATAGGGCTTTTGTTTGTTGTTATATTTTTTTACTTTTATTACCTATGAACTATTTTTTTCCACTGCTTTGAGATGTTACTTGTGGGCATTATATGGTGATTTTTTTTCTTTGATTTGGAAAAAAGACTCTATGGCATTCCGATTCTGAGTCAAAGCCATAGTTCTCAAAATGATCTGCAAGACCCTATGCAGCCTGGCCAAGTATTACTGCTCTGATCTCTTCTCCTACTGTGCGCTCCCCCAGTTACTGCGCGTGTTGTGAATATGCCAGATAGGGTCCTTGTCCACCATTGCTCTTGCTGCTTCCTTTGCCCAGAGCGCTCTTTGCTAGGGGTCCATATGGCTTCTCTTTCCCCTCCACCTAATTTTCACTCAGTGTCACTACACTAAGGCATTACTTCTAACCACTTTTCATAATCTAACTTATGTATTAAATGGCCCCATCCCCACCCCTGGGTATAAGTAAGAATTGCGTTTTTTCCTGGTTATTCACTGCTGTTATTTTTCTGACAATTTGGAAGGTTTATAGTCTTTAGTTCTCTCATTGATTATCTTTATAACTTTAAGTAACTTCAATATTTTTGTTTCTTGAGTTATCACCCATAAACCAGTATCTGTTGATTATGGAGGGAAAAAGAAGTTAATAAGCTTATATTTACTCCCATCTCCCTTCATTCCCCTCACCACAGGATTCAGATTGCATATGTAAGTGGTAGTTGTTAAAAGAATATTATTATAGTTGTTTTTATGATGAAAAAATATACACTATGCCAAAAGCTTTATTATTACTTAGCTCATCTATTTTGAATAGTTCATTTGCTTCGAATCCATATCCTTTCCAATATGCAAGAGGGGAAATCAGCCGACATACTTTGTTGCCTCCTCCTGATACTTGCTATTATATTATCATTTCTACACTTGATCTTAGCCAAAAGTCCGAGGATCGACTGTATTCTCATTTAGTTCTGCCTTTAAACAGATCCACTGTTCTGCACCATCCTTTATTATCATTTATTAGCACTTGATTGATTGGGTTTTGTTCTTAGGAACTATCCATCCTCAGTAAAATAAAGGGCGTCTTACACAATGTAAGTTAACACAGTTTCCTTCATCGAGAAAGTCTTGCTACCTACCCCTCCACCCCGCCCAAAAAAAGAAGTCACCTGAACTCAACAGTGTGCTTTAGTGATCTACATGGTGACGTTTTGGTGCAAATTCCCTATTTTCATTATAAGCTACTGACGATTTGCAGATCAGTCCTAGTCCATGGACCACATTGTGAGATGCACTGTTTACCTGGAGCTTGACACAGGCATCCTTGACTTTTCAGAGTCTAATATCCTCCCAGACAATGCAAGGTCTAAGCCCACTTTAACTCCATTGCCCCTTTCTGATATATATATATTTATAATTGTCATGTATATTAGTTCCATATGTATTCAAGACTCTACAAGACATTCTTGTTTTATAGAGAGTATTAATTGAGATTTCCCCACATAGTTACCTTTTGAGGTGGTCTTCATTTCATCCTACATTTCCAAGCTCCATCTCAGATCATCTTTCTTTTCCCTCAAGAAGGCCCTTTAGTATTTTTTTAAAGAATTTTGTTTATTTTTAGAGGGAGGGCAAGGGAGAGAGAAAGAGAGGAAAAGGAACATCAATGAGTGGTTGCCTCTTGAGCACCCCCTACTGGAGACCTGGCCCAAAACCCAGGCATGTGCCCTGACTGGGAATCGAACCAGTGACCCTGTGGTTCACAGGCAGGCACTCAATCCACCAAGCCAAACCAGCCAGGGCAGAAGGCCCTTTAGTATTTTTTAAATTGAGATTTGTTGGTAACATAATCTTTATTTTTTAGATTATTTTATGTTTTAGGTTGTTTGAAAGTATCTTTAGTTCATCTTTACTTATGAAGGATAGTTTCACTGGGTATAGAATTCTTCAGCACTTTGAAGATATAATAATAATATTTATTAAATATTTTAATATCTTGTTACTATATCTTAACCCTTTTATCACTAAATAAAAATATTTTTTAGCAGGCTTATGACCAGAAGAACATTAGGCGAAGAGTTTATGATGCTTTAAATGTGCTAATGGCAATGAACATCATTTCAAAGGAAAAAAAAGAAATCAAGTGGATTGGCCTGCCTACCAATTCTGCTCAGGAGTGTCAAAACCTGGAGGTAAGCAAGGAAAATCCATTCATACAAAACAGTTTGCTTTATTTTACATCAGAGGCATTTTAATTTAGATATGTAGTTACATAACAAGAAAATATTTCTAATTGTTTATGTATACTATGTCATTTTTTAGAAATACACTGTTCTATGTAGAGTTTTAGAACTGGAAGGAACTTTAGAGATATGTAGTCCGGCTGATGTCCTGGTGCCGCTGAGAGACATAGACACTAAATGACTTGATTTTTACTGTTTCTTAGAGAAGATCTTTATTCTAATTGAATTCTGAGCACTCATAAATTTTTGGTAACTTGTATAATAGAAATAATATCTTATTTGATGTAATGTTTGCTGTGTGGGCCCCCAAAAATGGATTCAGCTATTTCTCGTGTTTAAACGTTTACATTGGCCTCTGGAATCAGTGGCAGCAGAGTGGTATTTCACTCGTATCTTTGTCAGAATGGACAGAATGTGTAGCAGTTACATGAATGTGGACATGACGTGTGCAGAAGCATTTTTTATTCTGTTAGCTTGCATCGTTACAGAAAATCTTCCTTGAATGAACATGCATCCTGACAGACTCTTTCCAAATTGGACGTAACTTTACCATCCTGCCTGGAACTGGATAAACTGGGGTTAAAAGATAGCTTACGGAGACAGATGTGGTGGATCTCATGTTTTTCTTGTTGTCTGATACCAGTATACTTGTGGCTGAAGGGCGAAACCAGACATTCATCATAAGTTATAGGATGATTATATTTATTTGCTGCAGTAGAAATGTCTTACTTTTCTCCTCCAATAAAGTGGAATTTGAGAATCATTTTAATTACCAGTAATATTAAGCTGATAAGATAACAGAAATCTATTAGCATTTGTTATGTGCTTAACCAAAGATTATGCGAGACAAAATTTCTGATTCCAAGGAGCTTTCATTCTGATTGAGAGAAGTGTAAAAGGAGTTGCCAAAAATGTGATTACTACTATGAAAGAAGTATGTGCAGATTTTCTGGAAAGGGAGATAGATGAGGGAGGACTTTACCGAGAACCAAAGCCCCAGAGCTCCGTCAGGAGGGAGGAGTAGGGGTCTGGGGTGTACAGAGGACCTTCAGGGCTGGGGCTGTGCCTGGGCTGCGGCCGGCAGAAGAAAGCCTGTCCACCACCGGGGGTGGCCGGAGTATATATAGGCAAGAAAGAAAGGGGGTAGGGGACAGAAGCAGCTGGGACCTGGTCCTATAAACTGGGAGAAGCTACTGAAGACTTCAAAGCGGAGGGTGGATAGGATGTGCTCTGAAGGGTCACTGTCCTAGTGGGTCGAAGTCGAACTGGCAGGAGGATGAGGGGGGTGGGTGAGGGGATGGGCTGGAGACCCCTGCGTGGAGGCAGGGCAGCGTGGGCGGGGCGGTGTGCCCCGACAGGGCAGAACACTTGGATGTGGGACGGAGCGGTGGGGCAGGGGGGCCTGGCCTGTCACAGCTTCAGCCCCTAAATGTGGAGAGCCACACAGATTCTTCGGTCAGTCTAAAGTGGTTTAGGGTTGCGTGTGGCAGCGCTTAGAGGGGTAGTGAGAGGGAACGCCTGGTACAGACCACAGTGCACGGGCAGCAAACAAGAAATATTATCTTGGGGTAGACAAGAAACATGTCTTTTCTGGCATCATTGACTTTTGCCCACATTGAGGTAGGAATTCATCCACAAGGAAATTCAGACCCAAGTATTTGTTTTCTAGGTAGTTGTAAGAGTGAGGAAAATGAGTCCTTTGAAGCTGGGGAGTTTGTGCCGTCAGCATGTTTCTTACTACGAGGAGGAATTGTGTATGGGATATGTAAGCTAGCTGTATTAGCAGCCGTGCTTATTTAAGTCAGTTAAAATACACCATTTTTACTTCAATAATAAAATAAATAAAAGAAGAAAAGGAAAGAAGGAAAGAAAAGGAGAGAGAAATCTAGCATAATTTGTTTGATCGGGAAAGGGATATTTACACATGTGAAGCAGAAATGAGAGCAGGTAGTGCAGGGTTAAAAGTTAACTTCTGCATGATCAGGGCAAGTAGGGGAGCATTAGAAGGGCCAGTGCGCCATCTGCAAAGAGAGTCTCGTGCTGACTGGGTTATTGGGAAATACCCATACTGAAGAGAACATAAATTAGTAACTTTTTTTTAGAGAGGACTCTTGTTTCAGAAGCCCCAAAATACTACGTGTATTCTTTGACCTGGCAATCGGCCAAGTGGTTTCTAACAGGGAAAAAGAGAATCAAATAAATTAAATGTTTAAATAAATAAGATTTAAAGTAAAAATAAGTCAGTCAGGCTGAGAACTTAAATGTGGCCTTACCTCATTCTGGGAGGTGGGAGTGTAATAGACCAAAGCAATTAATATCAGGGTCTCTGGAACCAGACGGCTTAGGTTCTTGACAAGCACTAAGCCACGTGCCCTTGGGCAATTCCTTAACCCTCTGTGCCTCCAGTTCCTTACCTGCAAAAGTGGGTAACCTCAGGGCTCCCGCTCCTGCAGGCTTTGTGAAGATGAGTTAGATAATGTGTGTAAAGTGCTGAGTTGAGTGCTGGCTGGTAGAGTAAGTGTTCCCAAGTGTAGCTCTCACTCTGTTACAAGTTAAGTAATAAGTAGCCATGAGCACTGAATATCACGTATTCATTAAGCGGATGGATTTCACTAATGACAACAGTTGGTGCAGTTCTGCTGCTTGCCCGCTCATTTACCCAAAGCCTTCCCCCCACCCACCCAAAGAGGTGTAGTTTGGCTTTATTGATGTTGGTAGTCAAAATGGGTTGCATTTCTCTAAAGAAAATTCTTAATTATCTCAGAATTGGGACCTGGAAATGAGCTGTACTTTATACTCTACATATGTTCATGTTATTTTGTAACCTGTGTTTTAAAGATAGAGAAGCAGAGGCGGATAGAACGGATAAAGCAGAAGCGGGCCCAGCTGCAAGAACTTCTCCTGCAGGTAAAGATGCCAGGATGTTTTCCCAATAATAAAATAAAATAAAGAAAATACAAGACACAAAAGGAAGGAAGGAAGGAGAAATAAAGAAAAGGAGAGAAGTCTCTATTCTGCTCCTCCACTTACTCTTTTAGAGTCAGCATTTTCTGCTTTGGGGGCCTTTGAGGCAGTGCCCGGTGGAACCACAGCAGGGCAGCCTATACCCCGCCGAGCCCTTGCTGCCTGCGTGCTCTGCCTTTAGCTGGTTCCCGCCCACCATCCTCAGGGCCCCCATCACTCGCCTGCCCTGTGTGAGACTCCTGTTACACAGCAGTGTACTTTCGACATTTATCGTTACTCCGACCAGAAACTCTGTGTGTGTGTGTGTGTGTGTGTGTGTGTGTGTGTGTGTGCACGCACGCTAATTTGGAATACCAAGAGGTAAAGCTAGTTAAACTGTAGGCACGTTGAGTAAGATAATCAAATCCACTTGTAATACTTATTGTCCGTAAGTGACAGCATAATATGCAATGACTCAGCTTTGTAAACATACCAAACCTTCAAATCCATTTCTGTTTAAATGAAAATTACATTGTATGGTATAATAAGGATCCCTATATTAATACTTTTTTGGATAACTGCCTAGAATTGGAATGATTTTAAAAAGTATAATAGAGCCTTTGTGTAAAATTCCATGAGGTAAAATCACAGGGTGAAAGGACTGTTTCCCACTTTTGGTGACTGTAGTGGGTGTACAGAATTACTGTGAGCTCCATGGGGGAGCTATTTTCAGTACAATCAAAAAACTTTGTAAAATGAGTCAGAGTCTTTATGTATTTGCTTTTATCAGCAAATTGTCTTTGTTTTGAAAAGCTTTCAACCAATCATAAAATCAGCTTTGATTTGAGTAACTGTAGGATTTAACCCGCAGCTGAGGATACGCTTATTGATTTGAGAGAGAGGGGAAGGGAGGGGGGAGAGAGAGAGAGAGAAAGACGGAAACATCAATTGGCTGCCTCCATATGTACCCTGACCATCAGGGATCGAACCCACAACCTAGATATGGGCCCTGACCAGGGATCAAACCTGCAACCTTTTGGTATACAGGGAAGTTTTGGTGTGATCCACTTATCAGAAATAAAGATAGCAGAAAGTTACCAAATATTATAGCATGTTTTTTCCTAAAATATTCACCTTGTCTAATGAACAGAATATGTTAAGTATTCTTAAATATTCCAGATTTTTGTTTTTCACTTTCTAGATGCTTATATTACGCTTTCTGTTTTTCTTTCCCATTCATGTGTAAATCAGAGAGGCAAGAGCAGGCTGTTTACCCTTGCAGAGATCTGTGTCTGATCCAAGAGGGAAGCAGGGCCAGGGCAGAGGAGCAGCCACTGGTAGAATTTGCAAACAGAGGGAGGCCCAGCAAGAGTGTTCCCCCACCTAGGACGTTTCTCCTTCTTTTCTGTGTTCTGTATCTGCTTTTCACACTGAAGGACCCCGGAACCTCCCTGAGGAGCTAGCACTGGAGGAGGCATTTTGTGCATTTTTCCTATTGGATGGCCGGATAAGATTTTGTTTGAAGAGTGTTCTGCAGCTTTAAAAAAGACCTTGAAAGCTGACCATTCGCTCCTATCAGACGGCTCCTCCTTGTGGGGTCCTGCATTCTTGCAGAGCTGGCCCGCCAGGCCCACGTGCTGTGGCCCCTGCACTGTCTCCGTCTCCCCCAAGCTGCCGCTCTCTTGTCCTGGTCCTGGCGCAGTCAGCTGCGGTGTTCCCTGTGAACGCGTGGTTCCGAGACCCTGTGGAGCCTTCCTCAGAGTTCCGCATGGGGTCGTGGACATTTTGGGGCTTGGTTTTGGGCATTTTATTTTATTTTATTTTATTTTATTTTATTTTATTTTATTGTTTTTCTTTTTAAGGGAAAGAAGAAGGGGGAAAGAGAAACATCGATGTGTTGTTCTGCTTATTTATGTATTTTTCTTTTTTAATTGTATTTTATTGATTATGCTATTACAGTTGTCCTGATTTTTCCCCCTTTACCCCCTCCACCCAGCACCCCCTACTCCTTGAGGCCATCCCTACTCCATTGTTCATGTCTGTGGGTCATGCATGCAAGTTCTTTGGCTACTCCATTTTTTATACTATACTTTATATCCCCATGGCTATTCTGTAACTACCTATTTGTGTTCCTTTATTTATATAAAGATTTTATTTATTTTTTAGACAGAGGGAAAGGGAGGGAGAAAGAGAGGGAGAGAAACATCAATGTGTGGTTGTCTCTTGTGCGCCTCCCACCAGCAACCAGACCTGCAACCCAGGCATGTACCCTGACTGGGAGTTGAACTGGCAGCCCTTTGGTTCACAGGCTGGCACTCAATCCATTGAGCCACACTGGCCAGGACTACCTATTTGTAGTTAATCCCCTCACTTCATCACCTATTCCCCCAGACTCCCCAGCATCTGGCAACCATCAAAACGCTCTCTGTGTCCATGATTCTGTCTCTGTTCTTCTTGTTTGCTTAGTTTGTTTTTGAGATTCAATTATTGATATATATGTATTTATTGCCATTTTATTATTCATATTTTTATCTTCTTAAGTCCCTTTAACATATCATATAATAATGGTTTGTTGATGGTTAACTCCTTTAGTTTTTTTCTTATCTGAGAAGCTCTTTATCTGCCCTTTGATTGCAAGTGATATCTTGTATATAGAACCCTGCTTTTCATTGTTTTGAATACTTCTTGCCAGTCCCTTCTAGCTTGCAAGGTTTCTTTTGAGAAATCAGTTGACAGTATTATGGGCACTCTCCTGTAGGTAACTAACTGCTTTTTTCTTTCTGCTTTTAAGATTCTCTCTTTATCTTTAACCTTTGGCACTTTAATTATGACGTGTCACTTATTTATGTGTTCATTGGTTGATTCTTACATGTGCCCTGATCAGGGATCAAACCTGCAATCTTGGTGTATTGGGACAATGCTCTAACCAACTGAGACACTCAGCCAGGGCTTAGCATGCTATTTTTTAAATCCATTTCTCAGTATACTTGTAATTATTTGTTTATCAGAAAGAACGGTGCTTGTAGGATCACTCTCATATATGTATTTTTTCAGTGCTAAATTTCTGTTCCTCTGTGGTCTCTCAAACCAAATATTTATGGAGGATTTCAACCCTGGGCAACCTAGCTGTCAACATTTATAAAAACAAGTCTCTCTATTGAAACAAAATCCAAAATATAACTGAAAACAACTACTTTTGCTCAGAAGAGCAAAAGAAGGTAGACCTATAACTTCTTTCCTCCCAGTGGTTTGTTTTTCTTTCCTTCATTGAATAACAGTGATGAAGCTGTCATAGAAAGTAAATAAAATAGCCCTTGCTGGCGTGGCTCAGTGGGTTGGTCATCGTCCCACAAACTGAAAGGTCACCAGTTCAATTCCTGGTCAGGGCACATGCCTGGGTTGCGGGCCGGGTCCCTGGTTGGGACATGTGGGAGGCAAGCGATCAGTGTTTCTCTGGCACATCAATGTTTTCTTCCCTCTCTTTCTCCCTCCTTTCCCCTCTCTCTAAGAATAAAGAAATAAATAAAGCAAATTAAGCAAGTTGCCCACGAACACTAAATTTGCCACGCTAAGCTAGCTTAGTTTTTTTTAATAATGCCACAATTCACTGACATCACATGGCAGAGGTAAGGTTCACATACATGCCACCACCTCCTTTTTGCTCTTTGTAATATGAGAGAAGAATGGCGTGAGTGGGTAGCACCTGCAGACAAGCCAGGCTCCCTGCTTACATCTGTGTGATCACCTCTTCCAGCTCTTAAGCCTGGTCTGGAGCGGCTAATCAGCTAAGCTGAAGCCGTTGAAACAGATGTTAATGAGCCTGGAAAATAACAAAAAGCCGAAGGAAAATTAAAGGACAGCAAATAAGGAAATCAGTCCAAAACAAATGGGAGGGGATGCTTGTTTTTACTGTCAAAATAACATTCTATTCAATGTATGTTTTTACTGCTCCCCTTGTCCTGAAAAATCACCGATGCTGTTTGTTGTGCATAATATCAAACAGTGGACCCTAAATGTGTAAGAACTCTGAGCTGTCACTGCTCATTTCCATCCCTACCCCCTGCACCCAGGTCCTCACGTGGCACCATGGCCACAAGGCTGGGCAAAGTATGGGAGTATCTCCCAGGACACTTTTTCTGCTGGAAGGGAAGAGAAGCTGGGCAGAAGTATTTAAACAGATGATTCTTTTCATCTGTTTAAATACTTTTACAGTTTCAGCATGTTTTCCCTCAGTATTAAATGAATTAAGCAATGTATGTATGTATGTATAAACTAGCTTGTTCTTTACCAGCAGAAGATAACAGTATGACCTAAGTAATATTTGATAATGGTACTACTAGTGATCGTTTTTTGATAGTGATTTTGGACACACTGTTAAGGCTACAATAAGCTGGTGTCCCTTCTGTTTTATGCATTTTAAGAGAGTAAATGTTCACTTTATAGAGAGCTCTAGTACCCAGCCATTTTAAGTTAATAATAATCCTAATCAAATTTTAGTTAAGACCCAGAACCTAAAATAAACAATCCTAGGATAAGATTGCCAAAACACAGAAAATAGCCTAAATTCATCGGCACTGGGGTTGGGTGGGGTGTGGGGGGACCCGCTGGTGAAAGGAAATGAGTGGCCCTTTAATCCACTGTCTGTCTTGTGAGCTGATGAAAAACTTGCACTGTGTGAGGTCTCTCTAGCTGTGGAACCCTGACACATTTGCCTTGAGGGGAGGGGGTTACCTGGCTAGGTGGCTCAGTTGTTGGAACATTGTCCCATGCCTCAGAAGGTCCTGGGTTCAATTTCCAGCCAGGGGACATATGGGAGGTAACCAATTGATGTTCTCTCACATCAATGTCTCTGTCTCACCCTCTTTCTCTAAAATCAATAAACATATCCTGTGGTGAAGATTAAAAATAATAATAAAGTAGCAGCAAGGTTCACTGTAAAGATTCAGGCCCTGATAGATTTTGTCATCACTGCCAAGCCTCAGTTTCCTCATCTGGGAGATATCAGGTGGGGAGAGGTTTGGACCAGATTCCCCTGTGCCCTGAGGACCCTTAGAAGCCGTGAAGGGTCCTAAGGGGTGAAGGAGGGCACCGCTGGCTGGGCTCAGGACGCCTGGCGCCACTGCTGCCAGCAGAACGACGCTGCTCTCATGTATCTCACGAAGTAGATGTCTCATGAGATTCCATCTGAAGACAGGGCTCTGTGGCTTTATGAAGATTGCATGTCACTGGGCTGGAGATGACCTGAAAGATGGATTTACCCGTCCAGCTCAGTTGATTGGAGCCCTGGTAGGGTGTGTATGGGAGGCAACCGATCGATGTTTTTCTCTCACATTGGTGTTTCTTTCAATCTATCTATCTGTCTGTCTCTAAAGGCAATGAAAAAGTATCCTTGGGTGAGGATTTAGGAAGAAAAAAAAATGCATTTAACCCTTGAACCCTCGGGAGTCTGTGTTAGCTAAATGGAAACGTGAGCTCACTTGGTGTCGCTTCCCCACATCACTCTGAGAAGATCCGCAGGAGCCACTGGGCTCTCGGAGTTGTACGGTCTTGTTTCCATGGGCGACGGGAGCATGGGCCCCACTATTCACATAAGGATGATGTTAGACACCGTTTAAATGTGTATTCTTCCTTGACACATATATTTATTGAGTTGGACCATTCTAATCATTTTCCTTAATTGTTTAATTCACTTATAGGTGGAAGCCCTTTTAAACTTTCTAATTAAACTATATTTTAATTCCAAGTCACTTATCCACATTAAATGACTGTGTATGCTTTTCATCGGTCGTTACAGCAAATCGCTTTCAAAAACCTGGTGCAGAGGAATCGACAAAATGAACAGCAGAACCAGGGCCCTCCAGCTCTGAACTCCACCATTCAGCTGCCATTTATCATCATCAACACGAGCAGGAAGACAGTCATAGACTGCAGCATCTCCAGTGACAAGTGAGTGAGAGCGGGGAAGGTGGCAGGCTGGCCGAGTTCAGTTTTTTGAGATGCCACGTCTAGCCGAGGTCATTCCGTATTTTCTCTGACTTACCTCACTTAGCATAACGCCCTAAAGGTCCATGCATGGTGTCACAGACGGCAGAGTTTCCTTCTCTTTTTATGGCTGAACATTTCACTGTGTACATACCTCATTTCCTTTATCCATTCATCCACCGATGGACACTTAGGTTATTTTCACAGCCTTGGCTATTGTAGATAACGCTGCTGGGAGCATAGGGGTGCACAAATCTTTCCAAAAGAGTAATTTTGTTTCCTTTGCATATATTCCCAGAAGTGGAATTCCTGGGTCATATGGTAGTTCTATTTTCAATTTTTTAAGGAACCTCTGTACTGTAGTAGTAGCTGTACCAGTTTATAATCCCACCAACATATTTTTGCATTTGAACTAAGGTTGATGATAATACTCATCACAGCAAGTGAAAAGTAGCAGTTTTCAAAACAGAATGAATGTGTAATTTATTTTATCCTTCATGAAAATAGCTCATACTGTTGGTCTGCAGGCTGTGCACAGGGTCGTGAGACAGCTGGGGGGTGAGGGTGCAGAAGGAGAGGCCGGCCCGGACGTGCATCATGGTGCCCCGCTCAGCTGCTGCAAAGCTGCTCTGTTTTCTGAAGAACAAGCGGGCACGATGCCAGGGCCTCCTTCGATTCCTAGCCTTGCGGTGAGGATTAAATGAGATTTAATCCTGTAAAGTTGGGTTCAAGCAAGCACTTTATAAATGTTAAGTGCTTTTATAAAGGGCCAGTGTACAAGTTATCAGCCACTTTGGGATACATTTGCAAGCGAAGGGGGGCTCAATGATTACACAAGTACCCGAGGCCAAGCCCAGGCCTGTTCCAGGGGCCAGAACTTGAGGCTCCTTAGAGCCTCGGCGTCACCCTTGGGCCTCACTCCCCCGGGTTTCTCCCAGTCTTTTCCCTGGCAGTGCTGCCTCCCGTACCTGGATTGCAGGCAGAGGTGCTGGGCCACTTACATGAGAAGTCACCAAGAGAAAAAGAAGAGAAACAGTGAGCAGGGATTTCAAAAGTATTTGGTAATTAAGACTATAGACACAATAGTCTTAATTGTGGAATTAGACAGAAATAATGGAGACTGTCATAGGCTATGAAGTCAGAAGATCTGTATAGTTTCCTCTAGCTGTATAGTTTCTTAATCTCTCAAAGACCTCATTCTCTTCTTTATAAAAATACGAATTACAGTATTTAAGCTGCTGGTTTACAAAAGTTATAGATGTATTCCCAAAGGTCCAGCCCTGCGGTCAGTAAATGGTAGATGTCTGTGTTGTTACTCACACACTTGCAAATTCTTTACAGAAGCCTTTGTCTGAAAGAACTAACATTAAAACTGAGAATTCTAGAGAATGGTTAACATATTTTCCAGGTGAAAAATGCCTATTAGAGATCTAGGTGCTTTCTCTAGCTAGTCTCTTGTTTTGTGGGGAACTATTAAATTCTCTTCTTTGGTTAGTTTCTACGTCTAAAAAGGGTCGCAGAAAGTCTGGGAGCCGTTTGCCTCTGGGCTTTGCAGATTCTCTTTGCCCCTTGTGCTGGAATCTAGTCAAGTCTCCAAGTTCCCGTCCTCCAGGGTGACTGACTCACGCTCTTTCCTGCCTGTGTGGGGGGCAGGAGACTCTGAGAAGCTTGTAGGAGCTTGTTGTTCAAGGCAGGTCCTCAAGTCTCATCTTTCAGTTACTTTGCGATCTTTTCCCATTAATCAGCCAGGCAGCTTTCCCACTATGAGGATTCAATTTACAAAACCCTCCCCTTTTTTTTTAATTTATTGATATTTTTTAAAGAGAGAGTAAGACATTGATATGTTTTTCCACTCATTTATGCATTTATGGGTTGACTTCTTGTATGTGCCCTGACCAGGGATCAAACCTGCACCCTTGGCGTATCAGGATGATGCTCTAAGCAACCAGGCCAGAACCATCTGCTTTTAATGTGTGATTGAAACCATCTTTGCAGAAGGCACCCACTTCAGATATTTGCTACTTGTTTGTTTTTATCCTGAAAATGTGTTAATGTACTTTATTCAGTTGTACAGACTTAATTATTTAACATGGCTTTTTACTTCACGTTATCATTTCTGCCTTTATCTAAGATCCAGCAGAAAAAGTTTTAGCCTGACACGATTTTAATAGAATTTCATGCCCTGACCATTGTGGCTCAGTGTGGGCATCGTCCCACCGGGCAAAGGGTCACTGGTTCAGTTCCCAGTTGGGGCACACGCCTTGTGGGTTCGGTCTCCTGGCGGGGCACATGCGAGAGGAGCTGATCAGCATTTCTTACGTTGATTTTTCTCTCTCTCTTTCTCCCTCCCTTCCCCCCATCTCTAAAAATAAATTTAAAAAAAAATTTTTTTTTAAATAGAATTTCATAGCCCTGGCTGGCGTAGCTCAGTGGATTGAGCTCGGACTGCGAACCAAAGCATCGCAGGTTCAATTCCCAGTCAGGGCACATGCCTGGGTTGCAGGCCACAGCCCTCAGCAACCGTACATTGATGCTTCTCTTTCTTCCTACCTTCCCTCTCTAAAAATAAATAAATAAAATCTTTTAAAAAAAGAAAAATAAAAAAAATAGAATTTCATGACACTGTAAAACCCCCACTGTCCCAGAATATTCACCTTCACTCTGTCCCTGCCAGTCTGGGGCCCGTGGGTGGCAGAGCCCCAGAGCCTGGCCTGGAAGTCAGCAGGGACTGTTTCTCTCTCCATCCCCTCCTTACTGAAAGCTTGTGTGGAGCAGCTGGGCATCCTGATTGGGTATTTTTCAAGAACATTTGGAAATACGCTGTGTATCACACGTGACCCTTTTTTTAAAGACGTTTCACTCCTTAGTCCCTCAAGACAGGATTTGGGGATTGGCTAGTTGGTGAAAAGTTTTCCATTCATTGCTTAACAGCTTTTTAGCTGTAGCTAACACCTGACTCATGAGAATAATGAAGTGAGCATCCAAAATGTTTTTTCCTTGATCCTAGTAGGCCAACTCATAGGAGGGTTATATAAAACTGGAAGGCCTTCTTAATATTTTATTTGTTGTGACAAAGTTGTAGACAGCTTTGAGAAGTATTGGATTTAGATCAGAGTTCCTTTCTCCAGTTTGTGACGGCTTAATGAGGGCTAAGGTAGTATGGACTCCTTTTGCCTGTCACAGGAAAGTTGTTTTAATTAGGAAAGTGGCACATTTGAGATGTTGTCTCCTGAGTCCAGCAGAATAACCCTTGTTGCTGTAAATGACAATTTCTAGTACCATAGCCGAACGCCGCATTCTTCCATGCAACACGCAGGATGTAAAACCCTTTAGCCCCCGGCACCACGGGAGACCCCACGCCAACTTTGTTTCCCCGTGCAGGTTTGAGTACCTTTTCAATTTCGACAACACCTTTGAGATCCACGACGACATTGAAGTTCTGAAGCGGATGGGGATGTCCTTCGGCCTAGAGTCAGGCAAGTGCTCCCTGGAGGACCTGAAGCTGGCAAAGTCGCTGGTGCCGAAGGCTTTAGAAGGCTACATCACAGGTATGTTGCCCGACGCTTGCATGTGCTGTCCCTGATCGATGTCAGACCCTCCGCAGGGGGTCCAACCCTTTGACGTCTCTGGGTCACACATTAAATACATTGTGGCACGTAATCACAAAGAAATCTCATAACCTTTTAAGTAAACTTACAATGTTGTGTTGGGACGCATTCACAGCCATCCTGGGCTGCGGGTTGGACACCCCTGCAACATGCTAAAACCTTCTCCAGTTCTCACAGAAAATGAGTTTGGGTGCACTGTCCTCCCACCCCGGTCCTGAATCTTTCCCGCTTCTTTAAGGGCAGCCGCTCTCCTGGGTTCCCTGAGTGTCGTCACCTGCTTTTATTTAACATACAGAGTAAGCTGGAATCATGTATTTAGTTTTGCCGGCCCCTGACCTTGACTTAAGTGGAATCATAGTGATATGTTTTTTGGTGATTTGATTTTTTTTACTCACTTCTTAAGATTCACCCATGCAATTTAATGTGGCTGTGATTCATACATTTTTACTGCTGCATAGAATTCCATTATGTGAAAATTTCACAATTTCTTTGTTCATTGTACCAGTGATAAGCCTTTAGTTTTGTTTCCTATTCCTTAATATTAAAGAGCACGGCTACTTTGAACATCCCTCCAGTCACCTCCGAGCTGTACTGTGCGGAGTGAAGAGTGACATTGCGGGGTCCTAGGCAGGTGCGGCGCCAGCTGCACCGACGATGCCCGGAGTTCTGTGTGTTTACTCTCACCTGCAGGGTGCACCTCTGCAGAGTGCAGTGGTGGGTGTGTCCTATTTCCCCAGTCAGGTGGATGTTGAAGTGGCATTGTAATTTTATTAATTGAAATTTAATTAACACACCATAAAATAGACTGTGTTTAAGTATAATTCGGTGGCTCTTAATATATTCACACAGCCGTGCCATTATCACCACCAACTCTAAAACATTCTTATGGCCCCCAAAAGAAATCTTGTATTCTTTAGCAATGACTCCCTGTCCCCCGACTTCCTCCCACCTTCTGGCAGCCACTGACGTCCTTTCTGTCGCTGTGGGTCTGTCCATGTGGACAGTTCAGGTAAATGGATGCCCATAGTACGCGGCTTCCGTGACTGACTGCTCGCTCCTGTCTTGCACAGTGTGTCCAAGGTTCGTCCGAGCATCGCCCCTTTTCCACTGCCGTCACACAGCCACACTGCAGTCTGCTTGCCCGTTACCGGGAGGACGTTCAGCCTGCCTCTATTTTTTGGCTATTATGTGTGATGCTACTCTGAATATTCTCGTACAGGTTTTTGTGTGAACATAAGTTTTCCGTTCTGTTGGGCATATACCTAGAAATGGAACTGGTGGATCATATGGTAACTTTACATTTAACATTCTGAGGAGCTGCCAGACTATTTTCCAAAGGGGTTTTACCACTTTACAATCCTACCAGCAGTGTGTGAGGGTCTCCATTATTCCCCATCCTTGTAAACACTTGTTATCTTCCATCTTTTATTGTAGCCATCCTAGTAGATGTAGTATTTCAGTGTGGTTTTGATTGTATTTCCCTAGGGACTGATGGTTTGAGTGGCTTTTCATGTGCTTTTTGACCATCTGTATGTCTTCCTTGGAGAATGTCTATTCATATCCTTTGCTCATCTTTAAGTTGGGGGTTCTTTATCTTTTTGTCATGAGTTATAAGTGTATACTGAGTATACTTGAAAACACTATGTTTCACATGTTCTGTAATTCAGATTTTTTTTTTCTTCACTAATTCAGAAATCTCTATGAGTATCCAAAGTTACTAACATTATGGGATATTCTGCACATAGATTTTGGGTGTAGAAATAGTGCTTCTGCCTTTCCTTTGGGCAGTTTCCTGCATTATAAGTATCAGCCCCTAGAATTTCACATCACTTTTTAAAGGCATTTAATAAGTTCTAAGGTATGTTAAATCACATATAAACAAAGAAGTAGTTTTATTTTGTTTTGTTTTATGGCACTTTGGCCCCAATACAAGTGTCTGTTGAATGAGATATGGTTTCTGTTGAATTTAGTTCTTAAATTGGCATCATCCTCCTCTTGCCCCTCAGCCCATGTCCCACCCCATTCCCCACCTGCCTGTCCCCCCTGCCCTCCCCCACCCCGAGCAGGACCTGCTAGTTTGTTAACAGTCCAGTCCCACGGGCAGTCCAGCAGGGCCTGAGGAAAGGGCCTGCTCCATAAATCACTGCGACTTCATTTCAGCCTGTTCTCCTTGGAAAAGCTCGGGGCCATGAGGCAGGCTCAGCTCCGTGGTCATTACCTCACTGGCAGCCTGGGGTACAGATTTTCTGGGTAGTTCAAAAGCAGAAATGTGTGCCTTTAGTGTGCAGAGGGACAGAGGGGCTCTTGAATACGATGGAGAGAACCATGGTGGTTTCTGTGATAATGTGAAAGAACTTGGGCTTTCTAAAGCCATTCTAAAAAGATAATTTAATGTGTTCTGCTCACAAACAAGTAAATAGCAATGCTTTGACAGAGTGTCCATATGTGCTCATTAATATTCAGCACAGGATTCTGGCTTTAATTTTATTGTGTACAGATTTGTTATTCAATGTTTTTTAAAGTCGGATGTTCTTAGAATTGAAGTTTTGTTGTTGTTTTTTTTTATAGCTGCCTTCATTAGCCTGTGAAGAAAAAGGTCCACAAGGCCATTCTAAACCAATGGAGACATTTAGATTACTTTTTTCCTGCACAGGATGCCTCTCACTTGGTCCGACAGGGTCTGAATAGCAGTTTCCAGTCCCAACACACAGTTTTATATTTTTTGCACAGTGATTATAAAACTATTTTGATTGCCCTAACCAATGTGGCTCAGTTGGTCATCATCCCACAAAGCTAAAGGTCACTGGTTTAATCCTGGTCAGGGCACATGCCTGAGTTGTGGGTTCAGTCCCTGGTTGGAACACATATGAGAAGCAGTTAATGGTGGTTCTCTCCCTTTGTTTCTCCCTCTCTCTAAAAATAAGCAAAATTGTTTTTAAAAAATTAACAAAGCTATTTTTTTATTGGTTATGTTTTAGTGTTACTTTCATTTCACCCCAAGCATCACTCGGTGTGTGAATTTTTGTTTTAAAGATTTTTTTTTTACTTATTTCTAGAGAGAGAGGAAGGCAGGGAGAAAGAGAGGGAGAGAAACATCAACATATGGTTGCCTCTTGTGTCCCCCACGCCCACTGGGGATCTGGCTCACAACCCAGGCATGTGCCCTGACTAGGAATTGAAACGGTGACCCCTTGGTTCTCAAGCTGGCACCCAATCCACTGAGCCACACCAGCTAGGGCTTAAAAAACTTTAAAAAAAAAAAGATTTTATTTATTTATTTATTTTTAGAGAGGAGAAGGAGAGAAACATCAATGTGTGGTTGCCTCTTGTGTGCCCCTTACTGGGGACCTGGCCTGCAACCCAGGCATGTGGCCCTGACTGGGAATCGAACCATCAACACTTTGGTTCACAGGCCTGCGCTCAGTCCACTGACCTACACCAGCCAGGGCTAAAAAAACTATTTTGATTAATTATAATAAAAGCTCATTTTCACAAATCATGTTTTCTGAGTATATGTTTGATCTGATAATATAGTTCAGAGGGTTTCTTTTTAGGAATGTATTTAGATGATAGATAGATAGATAGATAGATGCATGCAAATATATGGACTCCTACTTTGTAAACTCACTATGGAAAGAAACTGTACTCATTCATTCGGCAACATTTAGATCTTATATGTTCCCATCACTGCCTTCTCTGAGCCCACATTCTAGATAAGGAGATAAGTATTAAACAAGTAAAATTACAATAATAATGGATCAAGGAGAAATAGAAATATAGTGTATCATAGAAAGTAAGTTGAAAAGATATACCCAAAATATGTCATGCCAACTGAACCAGTAATGCCTGTCTCACCCTCATTAGAAGCATGACTGTTTATAACCTTTAAAAATAAGGGCTTGTCTGAGTTAGAAGCAAAAGATACGAGGAGACAGAAGAGATCTTTGATGACTAATAGCACTGAGTTCCCCAGGGGGTACTGGAAAAGGTGGTGCAGTGGGGGTTGTCCAAAAATGTGTCTTTCATACCTGCGATATTTCCGACTTTACTCTCTTCACCCGGCCCAGGTTCTGGCTGTCAGCACAGCCGGTGTCGTGAGTCCTTGAGGTGAGGACAGCAGGCGTCCCGGGTAGTGCAGTGATCGCGCCCTCAGTGAGCTGCCCCCTGGAGGCCTCATTTAGGAAAATAGAAAGGGGGTTTGCAGTTGAATTCCTTCTTGCTGTAGTCTGCCTCCCCGGGAATTGTTGCTTTTGTTTGTTTGTTTGTTTGTTTGTTTGTTTGTTTGTTTGTTTGTTTGTTTTCCCCTGCTCTGATGTTTTAGAAATTCCTTTTTTCCAAGCTAAAAAACTCCGGGTTTTTCCCAGGGCAGGAAGCTTGTCTAACTCTCCTTTAGAGCTGGCTTCTGCCCTCACCGGTCGGCGTTCTTCACACCGTAGCACCATCAGCCACAGAACTTGCAGAGCCCACATCTTCTGTCTTTGTTTTTTCCTGTAGATATCTCCACAGGACCTTCTTGGTTAAATCAGGGACTATTGTTGAACTCGACCCAGTCAGTTTCGAATTTAGATCCGACCACTGGGGCCCCCTTGTCCCAGTCAAGGTATGTACTTTCCCAGGGTGAGAAAGGCCAGCCGCGGAGCCCGGCCCGCTCCCAGGGCGGGGCCGGTGGGGCCGGTGGGGCCGGCGGGGCGCTGCCTGCCTGCGCCTGCGCAGACGGTGGCAGAGCTCCCCGGTGGCGCCACCTTTCCCATGCTTCGCTCCTGAGCTTCACAGAAAACGCTCACCACATTAACGAGCTGTGTGTTTTTAATTGTTCGCTAGTGTAAACCAGGGCTTGTGCTTGGATGCGGAAGTGGCCTTAGCAACCGGGCAGCTCCTCGCCCCCAACAGCCACCAGTCCAGCAGTGCAGCCTCCCACTGCTCCGAGTCCCGAGGCGAGACGCCCTGCTCGTTCAACGATGACGACGAGGAAGAAGAGGAGGACGACTCCTCCTCCCCGGAATAAAGACAGGACAAAACCCACGTTTCAATGTTTGATGCTCATGTGTGTTTGTAGTGCGAGCTCTTGTTTTGAGATGATTGCTTCAGCCCTTGCCTCTGTCTGCACTGCGTCTGGTGACAACTAGGGAAACACGACCAGCGACTCACGCGCAGGCTGACCCGACCGAGGTGACAGTTACCACAGTGTGAGCGACCACCGCGCACGACCCTGCGGTCGGCCACCTCTCCGACACCGCGAGCTTTCCGGGGTGGCCGCGGGGACAGTCCCGGGAGAACTGGGCAGCATGAATGAAGCCCATTTATCTCCCACGAGGTGGGTTCTGCCCGTCCCCCAGTCCTACGCGACCCTCCTCCTTCCCCTTACAAGGCACAGTGAGTGCGGAAAGCTCCCGCAGGGCTGAGCTGTGCGGTGGCGGTGCGGGTGGCGACCCTGTGGCCTGGGCGCGCGCAGGTGGAACTGCTGAACTAGGGGAAAGTCTAGTTGAGGTGCTTCTCGCATCGGCTGCCTTAGACGGCTTCTAGAGAGGAGCGAGCGCTAATTCTTAAGTACTTAAGTGACACTTAGAATAATTTATAGTGAAACTGAAATGATCATTATTAGCCAATGCATTGGTGCATAGAATTTTTTAGGGCTACTTCTGGAAGCCAAAATAGAATAGCATTTCCACGTGCATTAAATACTTTGCCAGCACTGCCTTTTGCCAGCATTCTAAATCTGGAGTTTTACCAAGAAGGAAATTATATCTATAGTTTGAATCAAAGCTATGCATTTCATACAGCGTTTTCATTTAAAACAAAGAAACAAATTCCTTTGACTGAATTGCCTGCTTACAGTTCCCTGCAGTAACTGTGTGATTTCACCCAGTGTGCAGTTGCTGAAAATGAACCAAATGTCATTACTTTTAAAAGAAAAATCTATTTCCAGAACATGAGTAGCAATGTTTTCCTATACGTGTCACCTTTTATACATTTTTACTCATCAAAATGACCTTACTGAGTTTATGCCTGGGTGAACTGTGTTCTGGACTGACCTGATATAGGGTTTCACAGAAACCACCAATCAGCATTGAGCTCTCCAGACAGCTGTCACAGCAGTGCAGTAGCTGGTGTGTTGTTTCACAGCCAAAGACTCCACCGGGGACACTGCACTGGTGTGTTCACAGCGACCGCTCCTCTGAACTGGGCAGTGTGGAGACATCTGCCATGGTGGCCAAACCAACATAACTTCACACTGAGGCCTTGAAAAGGAGTGAATAAGAAGGGAAAATGACTCTACATCTTTGCCTGGAGCCATTTGTATTTGCCCCTAGTTGATGCATCTAGCACCGGAGGGCCCAGCACCGAGCTCAGCCCAAATCAGCCCTTCTCTAGCCCCCACGGGTGTGCAGATGCCTCGCGCTGCCTTCCCACAGCTCTGCCCCTGTGCTCTTCGCGACCCGGAGGTGATGGGCCGCCTGACCTCCAGGTTTGCGTAAGCCATAGAAACGAATACACAAAAATATACAACTTTGACTTAAGTTTCTTTGAGACTAAACTCATTCCGTCAGAAATAAGCTACTGCGCAGTGTTCGAGGGGGCAGAGAGAGAGGCGGGGTTTGGAGAATAATGTCTCTGCCTCAGTCTCAGGCCAGGCGGTGGAGCCCATGACTGCAAAGGCCGCAGCAGGTCCGCGTGGGCCTCTGGGAACCACTGGCTGGAAGGTCGCCATCTGCGGGCAGGTCAAACCCAGCTTCCTTCTCAGCCATCCTGTAAAAGGCTGCCTCCTCTTTTACTAAGCCCTGCCTTTCTCATCTCTGTACTTGCAGAGGTACCTGGAGAGGCCAAGAGCCACCACAGCTAGCCTTTTAGTCTTCAAAGTCCTGTGCTACAGTGTCCATCAACGTCCATGACAGGTGCATCAGTCCTAACCTGTGCCCCACCAAACAGCGAACTCCTTGCTAGAGTGTTTGGGAAACTGCTCTCTTTCTCCTCTCCTCTCCTGCTACTGCTGCTATAGTGTTAAATTGATAAAATATAGGTTTAAAAGAAAAAGCAACCAGACTCATTATTGCCGGTGCCCCGCCACTGGCCATCTGAGCCCTAGGTATGGGGTTGGGCCGGAAGTGGCCTCTGCCCTCGGCGAGGTGTTGGGTTGATGCCTCGGACTTCTGACGGAGTCCCCGTGGTCATCAGCACATGCCACTGGTTCAAAAAGCCTTTCCTGAGCAGAAAACTGGGCCGAGATGTTTAGAAAGATAAACCTGGTTATTCTACATCTCCCCTGAAAGACTACCTGGGTCTAAAGTTCAGCATTCAGACACCATTTCGTGTGGAAGTCCAAGTGGAAAAACATGAGGAAATGGTGATTACACCATCCAGGTGCCTTTATAGGAGCACCCCTTGGGTCAGGTGTGCATACACGTGGACACCCTCCCAGGGGACGCAGGTCACATGTGGATTTGGGGGCAGTTTGAGAGGCCTTTCCCCCTTGGTCAGCTTATGTTCCCCTTGCCACTGCATACTACCCTTCAGCCCATAAGTTCAGGCTGTTAGTCCCTGTGTGGGTGGGGCGGTGCTGGAAGTGCCCAGGCACCTGCCTGCCCTGGCTTCTTTCTCGCCCTTCCCGCTGTGAACCTCCTCATCCCCGTACTCAGCACGGAGGGCAAGGCGGTGAAAGCACCTCCAGGAGGTGCTGGCATAAACTCTGCCCTACGGTCCTGGGGGCCATGGTGGGGCAGTGGGGGAAGGAGCGGCCAGTGTGATTCCTCACCCCTGTTGATGCCCGCTGGCCCTGGGAAACTTGACAAGTGGTGACCGGATGTTTTGTCTCCTCCCATTCAATCCTGTGTAGGAGTGCAGAGAAAAGGCGATATCCTTTCTGCCCTTTCACAGGATGAAAGAGGCTAACTTCCCTCCGCAGTGAGGATCACAGTGGCAACCATGCTCTGCCATACTCGAAAAATAATGTCAGGGCCAGTCCTCAAACACAAGTTAGCTGCCGCTCCCACCCCCATGGGGTCATTCAGATGGAGGTGTTTCACAGGGGAGGACAACGCCTGGCTACTTGGGTCATGGGGACAGCAGAGTTGCAGGAGCATCGTTGTGACTCGGGCGCCTGGGGCGGTCAGAACACAGTGCAGGGGGGTGGCCAGGGGGGCAGGGTTAGCCAGGGCTGAGAACTGCCACCACTGCCTCTGCCTGGGCCACAGGGAGGGAGCGCCCTATTCCACTTCCTCAGTGATTCACCTCAAGGGCTCTTTAAATACCTCTCTAGCAGCATACAAAAGAAGTGTGTCCATGCCCAGGAAAACCTGTGGGGTGGACATTAGGGCTGTGCTGCCACAGCAGTGAACATAAAGCCTCATCCTAAATGTTGAGTGGACACAACAGAAAAGCAGCTGGTTAGTGCTGTGGAAACACAGGGCAGTGGCTGGGGCGGGGCAGGGAAGTCCTGGAGAAAGGGACACCCCGTCCTGCACCAGACCATCAGAAGACATGTCCCTACCTTCTCTCTGCGACACTGTCCAATAACAAGCACCTGGCACCTCTGCTTAACTGTAAAGGCCCCACTGTTCCGGTTGTAAGCACACACAGTTTGGCGTGTGTGAAAGAATTGTTAGTATTTAAAAGAAAACCAAACTCAGCTACCCACAGTATCCATAAACCAAGAGAAGATTCTAACCAACCCACGAAGTTCTCATTATCAGCTTCATGACCTTCCGATCGAAAGGTGGAAAACTAACCACTTTTCTAGGTGCTTTCTTGTAGTTGGACAAGTTCCTGGATACATAAGGATCTACTTGTTACATGAGACACAGAAAAGGTCACCTTCCATTCTGCCTGTGTTTGGGCATCAGTGGAACCAAAGGCTGCATAAGGACCGCTTTCCCTAGTAGGTTCCCCATCCTCATGCACCCACAGCAGTGGTCCCCAAACACCGATGCACAACCGCACGGTTGTGTTGAAGGCCCCAAGGGCCCACTGTGTGTGTGGGGGACGGGGGCTGTGCCCAAGCCGTTGGACCCTCGGAACTGTGCCTCTCTGCACTCCGATGCACATTCATACAAAGTGTATACAATGTTCTGTTAGTTGAACTCTCACTCATGCCAAACACTCTACTTAGGAAAAAAGTCTTGATGTTTGCTTCAAATTTTACCTTTAAAAAAATTGGGCTAAATACTCACATACATTATAATACTTCTCAGGAATTAGCCCCTTCACACAACCAAGATCATCTAAATATTCTGCGTAGGTAACTTCTGGGACCCAGTTTTCCCACACACACAATGCTAAGGAGGAAAAGTGGGGGGCACAAAACTGACCCTCCAGTTGTGCCCTGGGAACTCCCAGCAAGTGGGGAAGTTTAACTGGCAGCATATGTCGGTCTGTCCACCACGTTGTTGGTGCAGGAGCAGGCAGACTCACTGATTCTGTCTCGTGCTGTGGTTCTCTCAGGTGAGGTAAATTCTTGTTTCATTATTACATGGCCTTTGCCTTCCAAAAGGCGTGTGGAATTCAATGTTCCCTCCACCCCTGCTATCCAGCAGATCAGACTTGGGGCCTCCCTGCGTATCAGCTGCATTCGAAGTTGTAGCTGAAACAGGCAGGACTTACCCCTCCTCCTCTGAGGGCCTCAGAAGGGGAGAGGACGTCTCCACCCTACTCCATGCCATCACTGGTCCAATATCCCTCAGCCTCTGTGGGTCAGGGCACCACAACCCAGGATTCCTTCCTCCTGCAGGGGACCACTGTCCTCCTGGAAACCAGGCCCTCCCCACAGTCCTTCTGTCTAGATGGCTTGGGATTAGCATCGGCCCCGACACACCACGTGCCAAGCAACCAGGAGCGGAAGTGGGACTAGGCTCATGAGGCTGCGGTGCCCGCTTCAGGCCTCTCTCAACTCAGCAGACCCCGGGTTTACAGAGTCGCATCCGGGCAGAAACTCCTCCATGGGCTCAAGACTGTCGAGCACCCTGCTCATTGGGAGGAGTCTTGAGGTAGAGTGACCAGCTACCCTTCTCCACCGAATTAGCTTGTTTCTG